GTCTGGGAGTGTGTTAGAAGTTTAGGAGTGTCACATGGGGTCCAAGAGTCCACTTCGGAGTCTGGGAGTACGATTTGGCTTTATACGTAATTTGACGAGAATTCTACTCCAGAATTAATTTCTCTTATAGCACCCAAAAAGATAGAAGTATTTTAAAACCAAGAACCTAAAACACCGATTCGTATTTCAATAAAAAAAAATTTTCGAGTCTGACAAAAGAATGCAAAATATGCTGATTTTCGGCAAAGTCCGGAATTTATGCCTACCGGAACTGCGGAGTTCTCTAGATTCTCTTTTTGTAGATTTCTTATAAGCAGAATATAAAGTAGTTCAGATACTGTACATAAAATCTATAAGAGGTGCTATAAGAGGAACTAACGCTGGAGTAGAATTCTCGTCAAATTACGTATAAAGCCAAATCGTACTCCCAGACTCCGAAGTGGACTCTTGGACCCCATGTGACACTCCTAAACTTCTAACACACTCCCAGACTCTTACCGAACTCCAGGATTCCCGGAATCCGCTAATTCCCCCTTGGGTTGAAAGCCAATGATTTTTGGTAAAATTGATAAAAGAAAAGACATTTTCCTACAACCAGTCGTAATAATGAAAAGTTTAATATGACCAGTTGATAGAGCTTTTCAAGGGCTACAAAATGGTCATTTTCTCTTATCTTATATCGAAAGTTGCCCAGGACTAAAATTTAAAAACCGCTTTTTAGGCTACAAAGTAATGAAGACTAGAACTTCGCAGTATTTCATCCATATTCCGTTATTTATACCATGTATAAAAAATGTTCAATATAGTTTTTGTAGAGAATTGAACGGGGAATCTTTTATAAAGAAGTTCGAGTCTTGACAATGAAAAGTGACAGAAATATTGGCGAAATACTAAGTGACCCATTTCTTCTGGTACACCCATTAATAACTTACCCGCATTATGGGATAGTTGTAATAATGCAGCTAATCCTTGGAGATTTTGTGCAGCATCTTAAAAAATAAAAAAATTATAAAATTAAATTTATTCTGGAAAATAATGATTATTTTCATCTTACCACCTGCGCCTCCATTTTGAACGGGACTAGTTCCATTGTTACATAGATGATGTTGAAAAGGTGATGCTTGGGACAGAGACCCGCTATTTGATGCTGCTACGGTAGGTGAGTTATTTGGTCCATTTCCATTAATTGCTCCATTATTCGCATAGTATAACGCTGAATCAGTATAATTGGGTTGATTATTCGTATTTTGACGTGGTGAGTTCATTTGATGTGGTGGTCCACATAGAGTATCTTGAGTAGGTATATTCAACGACTGAGTACTACCATTTTGTGAACTTAAACCCATATTCGATGGACTATTTGTAATTCCACCTGGTAGCTGTTTATTACCAGTTGAATTCAACATTTGTAATAAGTTATTAAGAGCAGGAAAATTAATCGCTAATGAAGATAAGTTAAACAATATGGATAAAAAAAAGTTTGTGTATATTTTTGTGTAAAAAAAAATCATTTTAATAAAGACAACATGAGGTAAATTCATAATATCAATTACTGAGTTTTAACAGAAAAAGACATCAATAGAACCAATCGAGATGATTTAATTTAACACCTTCTTGAACTAATAACGATTTGCCAACATTCAAAAAACGAGCATTTTTTCTATTTTCTGTAAGACAAAATCTGAATTTATTTTATTTTTCTTGAGCAATTTGAATTAGATTTTTGGATCCTAATACTATCTTTGAATAATTCATACAAGTAACCGCACTATTCTGATACTAACTTGAAAATGGTCAATATTTGAGCTAATCTAGATCTATAAAAATATTCGTAATTAACTCACCAGATCCATTATTAGCTAAAAATCCGTATTGTTTTAATAATTGCTGAAGAAATACTAAATTTCCTAGAAATAAATTAAAGATATTAGATCGATTAAACATTTTAAATAAACTTAACTTACCGATTTCAGGAATTAAGTTATACGTATTCATTTGTGTTGGATTCATCTAAACAAAAACGTTTTTTCTTTCTCTTCCCTAATACTTTGATTTTTTTAAAACAATAAATACACATACTAATGTTGATGCAGCTGCTAATTGTTGCATTATTCCACTTGTATTTGTAATTTGTTGTTGCATTTTTTTCGTTTCTTTATCTTTTGGCGTATCTGCAAATTTAACAACCATTGGAGATGAACAACCCTAATATCAAAATAAAAATTTTCTAACTTCATCCTTCATTTTGGGTATTTTCTTCATTTACCTCCATTGTCTGTGATTGATGCATGGATTTGATAGCATTCAATGCACACTGTCGTTTTTGAAATGTAACGAATGCACATCCTAAAAATTATCACAAAAAGTAATCATGATGAGAGAAAAGAATGACTACAAATTTGTGAAATTAATATTCATCGAAACAAAGATCATGAAAAGAATATAAACCGTCAGAGAAAGCAATTTTAATAGAACACATATTTTTCCTTACAGATAAAAACGACCACATTTGATACTGATCTATAGCGTTCAGAAAAATCAAATTAGCGGTCTAAAATCACTGGTGGTTATACAAGAAAATGTAGTAAATCATCTACTATATAAGAATTATTTATCCTCTCAAAAATTTATTCTCGTATATATCGATACTAACCTCTACTTTTACCACTTGTGTCTCTGAGCACTGTACAATCTTCTGTATTTCCATAGGGTAAAAATAAATTTCTTATACTTGCTTCATCTAAATTCTTTGATATCATACCAATAAATAATTTTCGTTCTAAAACAAAAAAAACAAAAATTGATTTGTTATTTTTTATTATATAATAACAGTTCTACAAACCATTTCTATTTTCTGTATCTGCTGGTTTCATTTGAATTGGATGATGCATCTAAAATAAAAGAAAACAACGTAGAAAAAATAAAAATATTAAAAGAAAAGGTACGATCTACTTACTCCTGGTAAAGTTTTTAAATTATGTAATGCATTTTGTGCGTCAAGTGCTGCTTTTCTCGTATAAAATGTAACAAAACAGCATCCTTTACTATTCGATGTATTTTTATCTCTCAAAATATTTAATTGATAAACTTGTCCATATTTTTCAAAAATATCACGTAAATCATTTTCTGACATATTACGTGGAATCTGTCCAACAAACATTTTGATGGCATCGGGATCCGGCTCACGTTTATCAGTTGTAGAATTCATGCGATAAAATTGAACAAGAAAAATGTATAAAAAAAATTAAACTATTTGATGATAACAAATCATGCACGAAACAATAAATAATAATAATAATAATAATAATAACTTCTGGAGTTGGATAAAAGAGTACATTAAGACGTTCAGATATTGATGAGTAAAAATAAATATAGACAAGTAAACACGAGAGAATGAGAGAGCGAGTAATCAATATTCAAAATTAAACATGAAAATTAATCAGGACATCATACTAAAGATCATCACCAAACAACACCACCGGACAATTGAACAGTAACAAATGAACGAGACTGAAACAAAACGAAGAAAAATAAAGTAAAGAAATCCGGTTGTTAAAAAAGAAATCTAGTTGAAGGTATCACAACACAATCGTGTAACACGACAAAAGAAAGAATTTTATTGGACAAAGACCATAACTAATAGAAATTGATGGATCATAAAACACACTTTAAAGAGGAGAATATGTTGGACATGGCCCTACGTAGCAACACTTTCGATAAGTGTAAATTTTAGAAAAAGTATTTTTAATTCGTAAGATGCGTTCAATCATTTTGAGAGATAAACTTAAGTTTAAGTTGAGGCTCAGTTGCCACGTCAGCGGAGGAAAGAGTAAAAAATGACGTACCACTTATTTTTCTTCGAAATATCATGTCTCAAATATATTGTAGTATGGACGCCTGTACATTTAATACCAAAAGAGATAGGATTTCCGTAGCTTTATAGATAAGGTTTTCGTCTTCTTGGGTTATTTTTTAGATGCACATTAACCAGAAGTTTTTTTTAGATAAAATTATTTCCAATATAATTGTACGGTAACACATTAATGTACAAATTATTAACTAAAAAAATGTCTATGCTACACTAGCTACGAAGTTAGTGATATTAGCAAACAGGAAAACAGACACGTGAATCAAACAAAATAAACGAAACAGATACTAACAAAATGCATCGTAATAAAGAGGTGCCAGATGTTTTTTCTATTTATGATCGGATAACCAATGATTGTACGACGTAATGCATAGTTCAGATCCATCTGGTACAATCGGAATATTAGAATAATGTCTCGAATAGAGATTTACAGTATAATGTTGGTCGTTTTTTGGATATTCTTACTAGTAATCGATTTATTTTTATATAAGGTGCGGGAAATCAACAAGATAACATGTTTTTTCTTTCGTTCATGTTTCACCATGGTTGGATAGCGCTCATCGAGTTATCTGGAAAAAACTGGATTTCATATTTTCGAAAGACATTTTAGGATATTTATTTTTAAAAATGGGCAAAATGAGAAAATATTTGAATGACAAACTACATGTTCATGTTTGGTCATCTTTTAAAGTTCCAAAACCATTTTTCTTATTTTCCATTGAAAACTGAGTCGAGAAAGCTAATTATGGGAAACTTTAGAAGCTTAAGTGGACTCAGAATCTGCAAAGCACGAGCAAAATGGTAAAGAGGCCGCCAGTCAATTTCAAACTCAGTTTTCAATGGAAAATAAGAAAAATGGTTTTGGAACTTTAAAAGATGACCAAACACGAACATTTTGCTTATTATTCAAATATTTCCTCACGTTTGCCCATTTAAAAAACCAATATTCTAAAAAATGTTGTCATAAGAAAATGCCTTCCGGAAATGTGAAATCGAGTTGTTCCTAGATAACTTGATGAGTGCTATCCAACCAACTATCGCAAAACATGAACGAAAGAAAAAACATGCTATCTTTTTGAATTGATGCATCTTATATAAGCATATACAGAAAGCCAATTGTTCAATGCGTACTGCCTATGTTAGTTGCAACAGGCACTTTAGATGTTAATACATGAAGACAATCGCATTTATCACGTCTTATCTTTTTTTTATTGTTTTTTATTTTTGTTGAAAGAATTCCAGATGAAATGAACAGAAAAATGAAGCTAGTTTTTCAAACTAGAAAGACATGAGATTTGTGCATATGAATGACGAATTAAAGTGGTGATTTGGTTTGATAAAAGCTTTATTTGAAGAAAGCTGCAAGAAAAATGCACTGAATAAGAGTTCTACAGACTACTGAAACACCACCATCGAACAATTCGGTTCTTAGAATGCTGGCAGACTGTGTTTCATTATTTGCTCGAATTTGATGTCTCATAGGGCTAAGCAATGAAAGAAACACAACTGTTTTAGGTTTGTTTTCATTTCAGATCTTCGCATAATATTTCACTTCGACATTTTATTTTATCGTCCTGCAGAGATTTAATAGTGAATTTATAAAAAAATATTAGATCCATGTTAGATGGTCTGTTTGAGCAAGTGGCTCAAACGGGATTTTTTTTGTCATTTTGATCAGATATCGTCTTTCAAATTTTTTCTTCGTTTTTTGATACTTTTTCCTTTTTTGTTTTGTCTATTATGTGATAGCAATACTATTCTGAGGATTCTCAGCATCTTATAAAAGTACCTTCTGAACATGTAATGAGACTAATATCTAGAATTTGTTTTATGTCCTTTTCTTTTCTCAAATAAATAAAGTTTATAAGAAGAAAAAAAATGATAAATTTTTCGTGCACTGGCGCTTATTGATGCTGAAAAAGTACTGATTAAAGAAAGTAAGAAAAGGCAAAATTATTTTTCAGTCAAAGTTTTGCTTATCGACGCCTATAGAAATATATATCTCGGTATACTTGTGATATTTCAAATGCTTTTTCGACTTCCTCGGTTGTTCCTCATGAGAGAAATGTCGAATACTGCAGTACCGAATCTTCTAATTAACAAAAGATTAAACAGCAGTGACTATAATGATAACAATAATTACAGGCTAAATAAGTATTAATGCGGGTTTTTGTACAACAGAAATTTCAGTTGATTTTCACTTTTACTTACCTCACTCTGATTATTGTAGTCTCAGAAATAATCTTCATTAGTTATTGATAGTTGCTTGATGTCAGAACGATTGTGGAAAAGCTTTTTTTTTCGTAGGAGATTCGACACTTCTATAAAACATCTTAGCTCATTGATATCAATATTCTACGTGAAAGAGACAATATATGAAGTCGATTTAGCTTTTAATAGTCGTACAAATGAATAAGTTAAAAAACCAACAAAAAATATACTAAAAGAAGTTGTATACAGACACAAAAGATCACAAATATACCAGCAAAAAGAGGTAAAAGAAAAGTACAATTAAATATTCATTGGTGTATAGTCCTGATAACGGACCGGATGTTTATTCATGAAGAGATCATTCAAAAAAAACAAATCCACCATCAAATTATTATATTGAGCTTTTTTAATCATTACTATTGTAGAGATCACAAACGCTTTCATTTTGTTCCATTTGAAACCGATAATCATCATTTTCTGGCAAATCGCTCAATGGAATAAATGCATTGAGCGGCACTAAAAGAGCGAAGACAAATATAACGAACACTTCCCTCATAGGATTTTGCTATGCTGATAAAAAAACACTAACAATAGTTACGTACCTGTCCAATCGAATGAAGTTTCGTGATGAGGAGAACTCTAAGAAATACAAAAACTATTAGATTCAGTAATTCAGTATATATTTACACAAACCTCCATTTCATCTAAATTATGACTGTTTTTAATCTTTGAAGAATTATCTGGTACATCACGATTTAGAAGTTTCAAACAAACTGGATCTTTATCGCTTTGAATATGTATTTGATGTGAAGAGTTGTCACCCTTCTGAAAATGAATTTAACGACATTGAAAGAAGAGTATAGGAACATATTATGATACTAACAGTAATTTCGTTAATTCTCATCACTGTTCCAGCAGATGCTTCGGCAAGAATCATAATGTCGTCATTTTTATATGCTTGAGAAAGATCTTCATGTGTAACATAAATTAAACTAAAAATAGTCATCTTCGATTAATAAATAGATTTTAAAAATAATTAACATCACACATACTTTTGTAGTGTATCATCTGTCAATGTGTTTTGAATACTTTTTTCAATTAAACGAAGTTTTTCATCCCAGAATGCTGACTCATCTTCTAATTCTTGTAATTGAATCTGTTTATGATTTAAACGTTGATAGGCTTCAACTGTATTATCGCCAGATATCGCACCCCTAATAATTAGACAGCAGCATTAGAAAAAGAATTTCTCTTTTATAAATAACAAAAACACATACTTCCATTTGATCGTGTTTTTAGATTGTTTTTCGATAAGTCCAATACCTTCAAGAACATTTGTTATATCATATATACGACGCTTTTGTTTTGTGGCTAATGCATCGGCTACCTAAAATGACGATGACATCTTAATCAGAAATATTAAGTAGTTAAGTTAGTACGTACATGTTTCAAATCGAGTGTACCATTTTTCGATTGACGTAGTAGAACCATAAATCGTCTTGTTAATGTTCCAAGACTTTTCTCTTGTCGACAATAAGATCCGCGTTTTTTAACTGTACCAAATCCAATGTCATCTTCACAATTGAACATAAATGCACACGACGATGATCCATTACTAGTCGTAGACTTCGTTTTATGAAGAGATTTTTGGCTCACTGATGAAGATTTAGTATGATTAAGAGTCATGATTTATCTGAAAAAGAACAAAGATTTTTTCTTCACAAAGCTTTTGGACGACAGTACTCCGTTAAGCAATATCCGAATTTTAGTTGTCTCTTCTCTTTTCGTAAGCTTTAAGATCAAAATCCAGAAAATAAATAACTGAGATTGCACTAGTCTAATCTTATCGTCTTTTTAAATTTTTAAAAATTATTTAGCGAAATAAGAATAGAACAAGACACATTTTCCGAGTATTTTACAGAAAGACAGTATAAGTGTTATATTTCAGCACTCTCTAAGAGAAATCTAACAGTCCACGACACTGTATGAGTCACACAGCTTCAGGTTGTAATCGTCATGGTTATAGCCAATCGTTTTGTCATCTAGTAGTGTTTTTCTGAAATTTTCTGTCAGAAAAGGGGCGCGTTCAAAAACGATAATGTTGATATATGAAGCTTGAGAATTCAATTTTCGAATTGAAATTGAATCCTTTGATGCTGACAAAACGTCATTCCATTCTGCAGTTCTCTTGAACATGTTATTTAACGCTTTCCAGCCGAATGCGCCCATATGGTGTTTTAGAAATTGCCGAATGGAAAGGGTTAAACAGTAACTAGAGCGCAAAACAAGTTTTCATGGCAACGTTAAGGAAACTACTATACTTTCGACCAAGACGAGAGGTGATTTTGTAAATGTTTGTTGTAAAACCTTGAAGATACCATATAAATCTATAATAAACTAAGTCTTCTGTCAGATGAAGCACCATAAGCCTCTTACCCTAAGCTGGCAAGCTCTTTATACTAGTTTTCCTCCTTTAGCGTAAACAGAGAGCTTTTGTCGACTTAAACGAAGTACATTCGTTCTCCTTGTGTTCAGAGTTCATGAGCAAGTATATTTCATCCATTTCCGTTCATACTCATTGGCCAATGACTGAAATTTGCGATGATTATGGACGGTCTACCTAGTGTAGAAGTCTGCTTTTGTTTTTAACTAACCCTAGCTGAAAAGGAATTTTGAAAGACTTTCGAACAAAGAGACCTTACGGGAATCTTGTAGAATTCTGCTCTGCATGGAAGTTCACAGAGAGTCGCTCGGATTTTAAAAGTTCCTCCTTCCGAAGGTTCCGATAAAGTCACACTTATGAGAGACAATCACCGTTTTGTCTTCCGAGTTATGTAGTATAGAAAAATTACCAATTTCAGAGGCGGCGGAACCATAGGACCAATGGGAACGTCGCCCCCACAGCTCTAGAGGCATTAGGCACTAGGTTGTGATATGATGTAAAAATACTCTGATAGTTTTCGTTGACTTTACAGAAGAAAAAAAATCTGCCCCTACAGTTTTCCAACCATTCCGTCGCCCTGACCAATTCTATAAAAGTTTTTCCAAGTTTATAGTTTTGGCCCCATTAGTCTTCTATCAAAAGATTGACACATACTATTCTCGACAGTCACTTGAACAAACTAATAGAAAATCCACATGCTAATGAAAAACTTAGAGAAAAGCCAAAAGCTTCCGAAGGACTTTTTACTTGGTTCTTGACTAAGAAATCACTCATAGTGCAATGATTCTCAACATGGCCTTCTGGTTATTCCTGTTTCAGTTGCGAAACAAAGAAAGTTTTTTATTTATATTTTTAAGGTCAATATATTTTATTAGTTAGCTGATCTTAAACTTACATTTCAAATGCCGCGAAATTTAAACTGAGACGAGATTGCGCAAATAATAACGTTCATATTTCGTTCTATGTTTCGAGGACTCCATACGGCGACCAAATTATGTTCGCTTTTATGTCGGTCGCTGACCAATTGCGGCTGAACAATTTCAAAAATGACACGTTTAGTCACTCATAGAATATCGCCGACAACTGAAGGATTCGACTCGTTTTCCATGGCCGACAACAGATATATTCGATTAGTTTCTTTCTAGCAAATCATGATCATATGAAGAAAAAGAAAACGCTGACTGCTTATGTCGATACCCGCATATCTACACTGTCATGTGGACACTAAGATGTAGAGATATCATGGTAAAACTGTAGCGTTCGACTAATTATTCTCAGTTAGAGTATACGTTAGAACTGGAAACAAGCTCTCTGCTCAATTATACCGAAACCTTCTCATTAGTTTTATCTACAGAATTTTTTTAAAAATCAACCGTCAGGCACTTTTTCAGGTATAATCGGATCCTACATCGTAGATGTGAGTAAAGGTATGTTTAAATGCGGATAGGACTATAAAAGGTTTTGCTATAATTGAGCAGAGGCCTAAGTTTTAATTTTAGTGTAGACTCTCTTAGTTCTCTTCTATATTTCTCAGCGCTATTTGTATTTATTATATTATTTATTCTCTTTTGTCTTATCTTTCTAACCATCTACAGTGTGTGCGTGTGCATGCTTCTATCTCTTCTTCTCCTGTTCCTTCTGACGTTCCACAAGACAGTGTACTTGGGCCGCTTTTAATTCTTACTTTTATTAATGAGTTGCCTCTTTATCTTCCAAAAAATTGTGAAATCTGTCTTTTTGCGAATGATTGTACCTGTCTTTTTAATTGCACCTCTTTATTCTTCTAATCTCCTTGATTTCTCTCACGTTCAAAAGTGTATCAGTTGTATTTCTAATTAGTCTTCTACTAATCTCATGTCTCTCAATGTGTCCAAATGTTCTTGGCTTCCTTCTTCTTTTGATCTCTTTCCGCTTGTTTACAATCAACTGTATCTCAATAATGTCCCTCTTTCTGTGGTGTCTTCTGTTCGTCATCCTGGTGTTCTTGTTTCACACGATCTTAGATGGAATGAACATGCCTGTGACATTGTTTGTCGGTGCACGCTGGGTGCACTGAGTCGTGTCTTCGGATTAGCTCCATCAGAGGCTTTTTTATAATGTTCTTTGTCCTTATTATTCTTCCTTACGTTGTCATCATTCCAAATATGTTCGTATTCTATCTCCTGTAAACTGTTTTTCTCCACAAACAGTTACGTCTTCCTTGTTTCATTCAACTTTCACTGACTGAAGTAATCTTCCAGAATCAGTCATTCGTTCATCTTCGTTATAGCTTTATCTCAGCATCTTTCCAGTAGAACATAGCCTTATTTACAGTTAAAAACAAACCCAGTGCTGTCACTCTTATTAATTTTGTTTTCTTGTTTTTGTTATTCTTTCTTTACTATCTCTTTGTTTCGTACACTAGTTTACTTTTTATTTTTATTTTTTTATTTATAGATGCTTTTTTTTGTTGTTTGGCTCGAGTCATTGTTATTATAGGTCGGAGACCTTTGATGACTCTCAATTTTCGTGAATAAATCATTCATTCATTCAAAAGAGAAACAGACTTGAGAATCTTGATTTACAGCTCTATTTCTATAGAACTTTCATCCAATCAATTGCGTTTTTCCAAAGCAAGAAAAGTGAACGAAATAAGAAACTTTTTCTCACCGGTCCACAGACTATAAGCTCATATCTTGTTTTATCCGTTCTTTCTATCTGATTTTCTGTAACAAAATAATAGATAGGTAACTTAAATCACACAATGGAAATACGATGTATTATTACCTTGCATTTATTTTAATATTCCTTCGAATGATTGATTTTTAGATGTCATCCATAAGCAGTACGTCAGATAACACAATAAAACTCGATTATTTCGGTTCTCCATCATCACCCGTTCATCAAAATCGCACCTCTGATGGCGATACAAAATCTGTTGGTTCGAAAACATCTCGAACATCAAAGTTAACTTACAGTGAGTATCCTCAAGTACGTCCAACCAACCCATTATATTCAAGTACATTTACCATTCGAACGCTATCATCTGGAATATCAAATGCAAGTAGTACAGCAACTGTTGTTGAAAGACGAAAAAAGTTTGATCCAAGTGCACCAAAACATCCAAGTGATTGGCGATGGTTTGCAGTCTTATGCATATTTTTATTTCCTCCAACTGGTAAGTTAATTCTCGTATCTTGACCGGTATGAAAGGGAAAAGATTCATATGTGAATTCTGATCGAGATTAAAATAAGTCTCGAGCTTTTTTTTGTGATCTAGCAATAGTTACGTATATATTTAGACACTTATTTGTGTTTTTCAGGTTTAATTGCCTTTGGTCTAGCTCGAAAAGCGCAAACGAAATGTAAAGATGGTTTTATTGAAGAATCAAATAAATTAAATAAACGTGCCCTTATCCTATGTGTAATTAGTGTTATATTTGGTGTTGGGCTTATACTTGGACTTTTATTCGGATTAGATTCTTGGCCTCGTACAAACGGTTAATTATCTCCGTTTTTTTTATTTCTTCTATTTTTAGGTTTCTAATAGGTTATAGGATTTTCTCACTACAAAACGTGTAGTTGTCAGATACTAACCGTTACTCTTTTTTAATCTATTTATTTGCTCAAGGAAAATAACTTTCTTCAGATATTCCGTTTTTTAACATTTCATTTTGTTTTTTTTTGTATTATAAACACAGTTTTGCTTTCTTTTGTACATTACCGTGTTGTTAACATGTTAGTGAACGAATTGTTCTCTTATTAAAACAATTCTACATATAATTCTGTTATATGACAACTATTTAATTTTTTTTTTCTATTTGAACTAGGTGAGTTGAATTTGATAAAAAAAGATGTGCTCTAATTCCGTCATAGTTTTTACTTTTTATATTATTTTATTTCTAATTCTTATTTTAATGGTAATAGAGTAGTATGTGTGAGTATTTGTTTGTATGTGTTAATAATTCTTTTTACGAGGTATATTTGGATTTTGTATAATGTTTTTATTGTCTTATTTTTCTTTTTAAGTCCCTTAATGGGTATTAAACATGTTTTGGATTTTAAATAAACAAGAATATTGTTTTTGAACATAAAATTGTAACACAGTAGAACTCTGATTTCCTGTTTGGCAAATAAGATTCCAGTACTGAAAGTGGAGAGAATATCTGTTAGAAACATCTGGCTTTCCGACATTGAATACTTTTTCCATCTTTAAAACACAATACTGTACTATTAAATTAGTTCAAGTTAAATTCATTAAAATATTGCAGTATTGTCAATTTTCACTTATTGTGATCATAATTGTAGTTTACACTTTCTCGTTCAAATATCTTTCTATTGTTTATGCACAAAGTACATACTTCATGTATTCAAATATGATATGACCTAAAACATTTTAGCTTTTCACTAATAGCCAAAATCCCAAAAAAGTTTTGATATTCTGATATACGGTAATATTGTGGTACATAGTAGTGTTTTTAGTCGAAGAAGTACGCAGAGAGAATGTGCAGTGTTCAAGGTGGCCAAAACCCCGTTCATATTGGCGCAGAAAGCTTCAAGTCTCTCTAGATAGGAGATGAAGCCAATATTTTTATATTATTCTACTCGCCATAATAGCACGAAATACGTTATCCATCATTTTCGGAAAATATTGCTCGGTTGTCGAGAAAATAAGTTTTTTTGAAGCAGCTAGCAAAAACAAGGAAATTCATTTTTATTTTGCAGTTTTCACCGTCAAACTTTCACTGTTTTGGAAAATCAATGTTATATTTAGAATCAGCATCAAAAACTGAATTGATCGATGTGTGTCTCAGGATTGTTGGACAACTTCCATTTTTCCCCAGAAATCTCCGTCGGGAAGTTTGAAAAAATCTATTTTTAATTTACATTCTATAGATTACATTCATTTCCTTTTTCGAAGAAGAAATGCTTGTCGAAATAAAAACTGAGGTCGTGGTTTGCGTTCGAGGATATGGTTAGGATATTTGAAACCTTGTATACGGTAACTCGAATGGCTTCGGACTTCGGACCCCGACAGTAGCAGAACGTAGAAATGATACATAAAGTGAAAGGAAATTGAGATTGAGTAATAGTTATCAGTCATATCAACCTTGCGCAATCACACATTTCGGCCAGTTGTTTTTTGAACATTCTCACAGTGGGGAACAACGTGGACATTTGGGCAAAAATTGAAAGTGAAATTTTTCAAGATTTGAAAACGCCTTTGGACGAGGAAACAGATACCTGATACAGTGGCTCTTTTAGTTTAGGGCTCGATGAATTGTCCGTTTCACTGTGTGCTGATTTATAATGTTTAGCTTCCGTGCTCGTCCTTCTTTGGCGCCTCTAACACTGTTTCAAATAACTTTTTCGTTGAAATTGTTCAAAATCTGTTGAAAGTTTATGTTTTAGGAACTGTTCGCCTTACCATCAGGGCCGGCACTCCTCGCATAGACTTAGATATGCTCTGATCAGTTCCGGCGAAAAAGTTATTTGAAAGAGTGCAGCCCTTGAGCAAATCTCTCCAAGTACAGGCCGATCAATTTATTTTGAAACGATTTGCATGCAGTTTTTCTTTACAAATTGTTTCAGAAAAAAAGTTCCTTACTATACCAAACGATAGACAATTTAATTCTCTACAAGATTATATATTCATTTTTAGGACTCATCTTTGAAGTTTGGCACAGTAAGTCTAACAGGAAAAGCTTCAAACTTCTCAAATTTACCTTCAAGAAATCGATTTTTTGCGCAGAACTTCGCTAAAAATCATTTGTTCAACAAAAGAAGGTATACCGAAAAATTCAGCAAGAAATTTTCTACAATATGATGTCTTTTTAATGACAAACAATGAGTTTTTAGATGAACTCAGAGCGAAAAAGAGTCTTTAAGAAAGGTCATGTTCTCCTATTTTTCGGACATCTTACGAGCGTTAGCGACAACCAGTATTCCCTAGTTTTTCAGGTAAAAAAAGTAGCAGATTTATTTGTAAGTTACACAGTCTAATAGAGCACAAAATTCTGCATTTTTTGGTCTATAAACTAATGATTTGAACTTTGGATTTTATACTGAAATGGTCAAAACTTCCTTTTAGTGCTGGAAACTTCGGTGGACTTGGAAGTTTATGTATTAAAGCCAATTGAAATAAGTTTCCTTCAAGTAAACGCTTTTGTAAAGAATGGGATTCTTGACCATTTAAGTGTAATCAAATTATTGCGAATCTTTCTATACTCATTATAAGCAATTAAGAAAAGAGTGCAGGTTGCACTTTAAAACTGCGTCGTGTAATTAGAAAATTTGGAACTTTTCCTGTTAGACTTACTGTGCCAAACTTCAAAGATGTGTCTTAAAAATGAATATATAATCTTGTAGAGAATTAAATTGTCTATCGTTTGGTATAGTAAGGAACTTTTTTTCTGAAACGATTTGTAAAGAAAAACTGCGTGCAAATCGTTTCAAAATAAATTGATCGGCCTGTATTGAAACGTTTTAGACTAGTGAATTGTTGCAGAAGAAATTTTTGGCTGTGCTTCGAGAGAGACGAGAGAGAAAAACTAACAAAACATCATTTTATCCTTTGCACACTAAAACTCGATACTTTAATAACATCATAAAAACTTTTTGAGAAGCGAGAGAAAGAAAAAAGCGTAGCAAAACTTTCTACTCAAACGACTCGCTTATCTCAAACGTTTTGGCACTTGGACAGATTAGCTCATCAGTGACTTGACCAGTAACATCTAAGGTAGAAAACAGTCAAGGGGTGGTGGTGGGCACTGACAGAGGTGGTTTCGCTTTTTCGTTTTTTACCTACACCAGAAAAGCGCGTCTCTGAAAACTATCACTGTTTTTTTGCCGCAGAAAAGGGTTTTCTAGAAGCCATATCTCTAGAAAACCTGCAAGATGGTTTTTAAAAACTTTTTCAATTGTTCTGAGTATAATTTGTTAATGTACATTTGTCTTTCGGCTAGCAGTTATAGGTCTCCTCAGCAACAAAAAGAACCAGAAAGGAAAAAAACGAAAATAGTGAGGTTTTTTATCTGATTTGAACAAGTAAAGACACAGATTTTCTTTTGATCACTTTTCTTCTTTTTCCAATAAACAATTTATTTCACAACATTTTGGTAGCAGCGAGTAGTTTATTGGAACCATGAACCTAGAAAACATTGAACAGGAGAAGGAATATGAGGATGAAAGACCATTTGCAAATAATGCTGATTTTGCCCAATTGCTTCAAGGGCTAGTAAGAGTTGTTAATAATATTCAAGAAAATCAAAATGCAATAAACTCAAGATTAAATCTAATTTTCAAGCACCTCACCATCAACAAATGTTACGTCGACAACTACGTTCATTAAGACAAACAGGAAATGCGCAAACATATGTTTATGATTTTCAAAATATATTGGGACAAATGATAGTATGAACGAGATGGATAAGGTGATGTATTTTCAAAAAGGTTTACGAGGACGTACAAAAGCTGAAGTCGGTTATCGTGCACCTACAATATTAAATGATGCAATACAAGTAGCCATAACATACGATACGGTACATTTTTCTAAACAATTTACAACAGCAACAGTATACGATGAACAAGATAAATCAGCACCGTCATCAGTAGAACTAAATATGATTAAATCAACAAAATATAGAAATCAACCACAACAATCATGCTATCAACGAATGCATCAAGCAACAAAAGAACATCACATTAAGAATGGTTTATGTTTTCATTGTCATCTTGGAGGTCATCGAGCATTTGACTGTCCTGATAAAAATAATGATCGTTTATCATCATCAATGTCAACACAACAAGATATACATTCAAAAAACGTACAGTCGCATATGTGAAGCCTGTAGCAGCATATGCATCGAAGTTATCGTCATGTCTCCAGAAATCGTTCGTTATGAATGAACCGAATGATCAAGACTCAAGAATCGTGAACCGCGGACTAAGAACCGAGAAGACAGAACCTGGATCCGAGAAATTAGAAACCAGATTAGATAATTCGTATCAAGATCCGAGAATTGTAGATGAGTTGATGGGAGAAACAGAGTTGGTAATGTATCTTCCACAAGGTAAACAATAAAACAAGCAGTAAAATTGACTGATAATTCTGTTATTTATTCACATGGTACAGTTAATATCGATATAAAATTAGATAAATTTAATGACAGTTTACAGGCATATGTATTACCACTAAATTGTTTCGATGTTTTGTTAGGTAAACCATGGTTGGTTAAACACAATCCATTAATTAATTGAACAACAGATACATTAACAATACGTAAAGACCAAAAAACATATACGTTAAAATCACAAATTAAACCATCCACACCAACATCTAATATAGAAGATAGCCAATGTCTATTAATAACAGCCATTAAATTAAAACGTGGATTTCGGAAGAAACAGTATGAAACATGCTATGCAGTATTTCCAAGAGACACAAGTAAAAAAGACAAATCAGGACAACCAAAATGGGTAGAGAACTTGCTAAATAAATATTCAGATGTATTTAAAGAAGAATTACCTAGATCGTTTACTACTAGATCGTGGAGTTGAACACCTAATTGATACAGGAACAGCATCACTAATAAAAACACAGGGTTATCGAATGAGTCCGTCAGAATTAGAAGAGTTACAAACACAAATTAAAATTTTAACCGATAAGGGCCTGACCAGACCAAGTCATGGGCAAGTCCGGTACTGTTTGTTAGGAAGAAGGACAATGAATGTAATCTATAGAATGTAAATTAAAAATAGATTTTTTCAAACTTCCCGACGGAGATTTTTGGGGAAAATGGAAGTTGTCCAAAAATGCTGAGACACACATACGTGCAGTTTGATCTCAAATTCCATCAGATACCGATATTTGTCTCACTCTCAATCCCCCTGGTAGCATTCTTGACGAAACAAAACATTATATTCATTCCTGTCGTAACGGACTTCTGAAACGATTATCTATTATTCGTCGAAAATTTTGAAATATATATCATTCGACTCGATTTTCGACGCTGATTCCGAATTTGATATTTTCATTGCGTGAAAGTTGAATTCTGTTGGATAAAATTGCGAATTAGGGTCAGAATTTCGATTTTTCCAAGTAAAGTCGCCTTTTCTCAGCGAGGAAATGGAATTTTAAAGAAAGCGGGCCGTTGTTTTGAAGAGGGGCAACCGACGAATCTAACCATTGCAAATATTGAAAAATAACCGCGTTTTTGACCTCTTCCGAGTATTTTGCAATTGTCTCAGCGAGTTTTCAGAGACCGGGAACGCATATTCGTGATCAGTGCGCAATTCTCTATCGAACGATGTGTAAGACGTCGACAACTAAATTCCGCTCGAACTCTGCTTCAGGTGCATCTTATATTTTTTAGATAATTATCGTTTTTCCTATGAGATAATTAATGGTCAGATGATATACCTCATACTGAATATAAGACAAACGTAACTTTCTAGTACAATCACTTGTTTAGATATGTTTCTATAATAACTCAGGTTACAAGAGACTCGCTTGAGCAAATTTTTTCCTGTGCTTTGCCTAGTACTTTGCCCACTTCTATAAAAATTTTCTACTCGATACATCCTTTCGTTGCAAAGTTATGGAACTCGAAAGTTGACAAAACTTAATTTTTTGATGACTCATCATCTGAAAACTGAATTTTTGATTATATAAAAAGATATAAAAAGAAAAGGAAAGCAGCGCATCCTGTAGAGAATTGTG